GTTTGTTTTCATATGTAAGAGTTACCACAAATTTTATTGTGTTCTACTTGTATTCTCCTCCTAAAAACATTGAAAAAGGTAAATTGCAGGGGTATGAACTCACCTTATATGGGTGATTCTTTTGAATGTTCGATATAGGATGATTGTTTCCACAAGTTAGATCCTGAGACAAAACAAGTCCTAAAATGCATTTCACGTAATATATATGTATACAATTAGTGAATAGAATCATAAGAATGATAAGGAATTGGACTAATTTGTAAGTTTAACTTACAAATAAGAGTGTTAGAAGCAAAATGGAAGGCTGCTAGGAGTTTACGGCCAGCCCTGGGGTTTACGACCCAAGAAGATCTTAGTGTTCTTGAGTTTGCGGCTGAGTGTTCTTGAAGGAATGAAGGAGATTCAAGGGTTTACGGTCCAATGATGTTGATGAATGAGGAACACTTGAAGATCCTAAGCAAGATCCTAAGAAGATTCAAAGGAAGAAGGATGATAGTTGAGAGAGAATGAGGGTTTTCGGTTGGTGTTCTTGAGAGTGGAATGGTGAGTTTTCGGCTGGAAATGAAGAAGTGAGGAGGAGTTCACGGCTCAGCCCCTATATAGGGTCAAAACTGATGGGACACCTTCATTGGTTTCAACACCGAAGGGATAAGACCGAGGTTTATGGCTGCGAACCTCGTTTGCGGCTGTGAACCTCGTTTGCGGCTGCGAACCTTGTTTGTGGCTCATGTGAGGGTTTGCAGCTGCGAGGGAGTTTTCGGTTCGGACAAGGTTCTCAGTTTCATGAAATTCACTCTTAAATCAAGCAACACTTCTAATTTAAAGGTTTTAAACCAATCTAGAATTTAAATCTACATAAATAAAATAGATCAAGATAAGAAGTTTGACTTTAGCTCGATTTTTACAATAATGAAAATAACGGGTTGTCACAATCAATTTGTCAGTGATCCGACCAATGATACCAGGCAACTACTCTAGTAAAATTTGTGAGACCTCAGTGGCAATCCAGTCACAAAATTTAGCGTTGTCTGTACCCATCTCAGAAGACTCTGCCTCTCGTTCAGACATTGACATCCTATACAATAAGACCCAAATTGTCATCTCATAACCAAAATATTATCATCAATCCATCATACTTTAGTCATTTCTTAAAATTGTGCACATCATCCCTTTACCGACTTCTTAGATATCTCGTGACTCTCCTTAAGTCGAGTATCGATCCTGTGCTTTCAGTAGTACGGGCCCAATTCTACCTTCCACACCTTTCCAAACTTTCCTTAAGGATTATCCCGAATTCTCCAAGTCACCTTCTCAAATTGATACTCCAAATATCGTGCTAAGTAGCGCAACCAACTCACTACAGCACATCCTAGGCTCTCCTAGGTTCCCGACCTCACCCTGTCATCAGCTGCTGAAGAACTCCCAGTAATGTCAGTTAACTAATTCATGAATAAAATCATATGCAACAAAGCTTAAATAATCCTTCGAGCAAAAGACCCATCCCTACAACGGTTAGACTCAGACGAGAGCTACGCAGTAGGGTCAAATACGTCACTCTGATATTATTTAACCTATGCAACCTGTGACTTAACATATTCACTTAATATTTAACCCACATCATCAAGAGTCCCACCAATCACAAAGCAAGCATCATTCGTGCAGTAACACTCCAAGCCACAGTCAAACAGAGGACATCTCAAGCTCACTTCCAAGAAAGATTCCAAATCTAGTATAACATCCAATTCCACTTAGGCTACAAGGCATCACATATCAGGCTCATCCATCTGATCATCCGAAATTCATACTAACATGCAATTCTAAAAGCTCAAACAATCAGACATATAAAAGCATCTCTCCTAGTCATGAAATCCTGAGCAAATCCTTAGCCCTAATCTAGCATGCAATTCTGGTAACATATAACATAACAAACATGTATGAGTATTCTAGGAATCACTTACTTGAGCTCGAGTGATTGCATGCACCACACCCCTTTTCTTTTATTAAAAAAATCCTTTAATAAAACTTTTATTATGTATAAAAAAACTACCAAACCCTCAGTTTGAGTTTAGACACACCCGAGAGTATGCCCAAATCCCTCAAACCAAGGGTCTGATACCAACATGTAACGTTCCATAAATTATGAGGTGAAAATATCATTTTTAATTCAACAAAAACACCATTTAATCACTTCAATCATTCAAAAGTATATCAGAGTAAAATAGTTATCAGAGTACAATTCCCAAAATCATAAAGTGCAAAAACATGGGTGGATGCCCTGCGATCAAGTCAGGCCCTTACCTCGCGAACCGGGAGTACCTGAAATTCATTTTAAACATAAACCGTAAGAATAAAGCTTATTGAGTTCCCCAAAATACTGCATAACATACATATTTGCCAGCTCAAGGTGGTGTCGGGTCTATTTCACCCCCGGGTCTATTTCACACTCGAGTCTATTTCAACTCATGTGTCGGTCCAAGGCTGTATCGTGTCTATTTCACCCACGAGTCTATTTCAACTCATATGTCAACACAAGGCTGTATCAGGTCTATTTCACCTCCGGTTCTATTTCACACCACATACATATAGCAAATAGGCACACATGCATATAACACATACAACAGGAGTCACAAAGATTACAAACACATAAAATATCCTAGTATCCTACAGTATAGTGAGCAAACTCACCTCAGTATGCTGTCTGAAAAACAGATGCTCGTGCTGCTGAGCCGGATAATCCCTGTGCTAATCAATCAAATAAAACCCCAATTAATAATTGGGCCATAAACCATAACCAGGAATTTGATTCATTTATCCAACTCCTAGGGTAAAAGACCATTCTACCCTTTCCTCACTTGGCCCAATGACCGAGGCCCAACCCAACGGCACTAAAAGCCCAATATGGCGCAAACTCCAAAATGATACCCAAAGCCCATCATGGACCCAATCCAAGAAGGCCCAAAGCCTAAGAATAGCTTAGCCCAAAGTCAGAAAGACTTGTGGCCCAACAAAGCCCAAAACCCTAATAGTCAAAATATGGCCCAAAACGCCCAACGTACTCTCTTCATTGCTAGTACGTGCAGCATATGATCTGGGTACGCCCAACATACTCCGCAGTCACCCTAACTCTCGATTAAGAGCTTAAACGGTTAAGACACTAAGCCAAATTCTCATATTTGATCCTCAATGATGTCTTAACACGTAAAGTTGGCAACTTTAGACCCTTTCATGGCTTAATGGGATCCAAAACTCAAAAAGAACCATAATAACTACCCTAACTCATGCATGGTCCAAAATAACTCATCAAGATTGCATTTTTATAAATAATGGACCTAAAAAAAATGCCAAGATCTACCATCCCTAGCTTCCGGAGTAGCTCAAACTCTCAAGCATGGCTTAAAGGATCATAAAAGCATAAAGACAAGCCCTAACTAGATCTAACCAAATGATCTATCAATTTAAGAGCTTTATACCTCAAATAGCTTGCAAAGTTGATGAACATTCTGGATCTTCAAGCTCTAAGTCCACCAAAGATTCACCACCAAGCTTCACCTCCTTCAAAGGATCCAAAAACACCACAAGATCATAACAATGGCTCACAAACACTCAAATGAAGGCTAGGGTTTCATCCTTAGGGTTTTGAGTGATGGAGGTTGGTCATAAGAAACTCCCAAGGCAACTTAAGGTGTTTAAGTAGGGCACAAACCCTAAAAATTAGGGTTTGTCCCAGTCGAGCGTACGCCCCGCGTACACCCATGTACACCTAACGTATGTGGGTGCCTCCGCGATCATAACTTCTTCGTTCTAAGTTCGATTTCAACGTTCCTTATATCCACGGAAAGGTAATGAGAAGCTCTAAAATCCTATCAACTCTACTTTGCCTTAAAAACTTCAGAACTTAAATACAAAATTCATAAAAGGTCCGCATCATCACTTTACTGATATGTCATTGGGCTCCAAAACACAAACCGAACCTCGGTATCGACAACCTACATAATCCATCACCAAATGGGTCTAAATCTCTCTTTCCCAAGGATTGAAGCCTTATGATACTTGATCCTCAGGTCACGACCCCAAATTATGAAACGACCCGAAACAGGGTGTTACACATTGCTATTATAACTAGATATGGAAATTGTTCGATATGATGTTCACTATTGTATTGGCATCAATTTGAATTTCCATTATAAACTATTTAGTCATAATTCATGTAATACAACCTTGCCATAGTTCTTATCTCAAAAAACCTAATTGTTGAAAAACGGGTGCTATAGTCCTGTCATAATTTGTGCCCAATATCCATAGAACACGATTGTATTCGCAAAACTGGGTCATATAATCGTATGGCTAAAAGACATGGTTGTAGAAATAGAAACTAGGTTCTTTTAGTTCAATCATAGCATGGTTCGTTATATTAAACTAGGTCATATAACTCACCCGGTCTTTTCATAATATATATTCTAATTTTTTTTCTTCCAAAAAACGGTTCCTATATAGTTAGTCCTACGTAACTTTCTATAGAATATATGTAAGCATGTTATTATGTTTATCATATAAAACTCGACAAACAACAATGTCTTTGTAATTTCACATATACAAACTACAACTAAATATACAAACTACAATCATTTTGACTTTTGAACAAACTTTAACATGGAGATGCTCTTATATTCATTTATAACGGGTCCTATATGGTTAGTCCTATGTAACTTTCTATAGAATATATGTAAGCTTGTTGTAATGTTTATCATATATAAGAATCGACAATGTCTTTGTAATTTCACATATACAAATTACAATTAAATATAAAAACTACAATCATTTTACCTTTTGAACAAACTTTAACATGGAGACGCTCTTATATTCATTTGTAGAAAAATTCTAACATAAAGTAGATTTATTGCTATTTTTCTTAAGAAAGATAAAAATCATACGAAGTAAACACAATCTACAGATCATTCTTTAACCTAGCTAGCTAGGAGCTTCACATGTCAATGTTTTTATTAGAAAACTGGTATACCTTGTGGGCGCCTAAAGAAATTCTTCGGATCAACTTTGGCCTTGATTTGGATCAACTTCTTGAAATTGTTCCTTTTCCAGTACCTCTCACCCCAAACACTAGCTTCTTCATAATTATCATTTCCAACACCCAAATCCAGATCCACATAGTTAGCATAAGCCTCCCTCGGGTTACTTGACACATAAGGCGTTAATAACTTCTCCAAGCTTTCCAGCCAAGCTATCCGGCTGAGTGATATAGGGGTTGTATCTGAAGATTGGTCGAAAAAACTAACAGTCTTGAGCACCTGGTACAACACCCCAACTCTATGAGGATACGGAATTGCTGTCTCCGAGTAATCAGCTATTGTTCCACCAAGAGGATTGATCATTAGAAGGGTTGATCCATCATTTTCGAAAAACTTTCTCCATATCTTTTTGAGTCCGCTTATGGGGATCAGTGTCCTAACATAGTCTGATTTACTTTTGTTGTCCACACTACAAGAATAAACACTTATAGGGACGAGATCTATAGGGACGACATCTGTCGTCGCTATAGGTTCCCTATAGGGATGACATGTCGTCTCCATAGAGTTGACCAATTTTTATTGACTCTTGAAGCTACAGGGGTGACTTCTTGTTTCAACATGTTAAACGGGAAAAGAAATTGGGTTGGCGCCTTATTGAAACACCTGTAGGGACGACTTCTTGTCCCCATAGCTTTCTATGCCCAAAAAATATTTTTTTTTTAATATATTTAGTTGGAAAACAAAAAAACGACGTCGTTTGTTTATGGTTATAGTGACGATAGGTCGTCCCCATAGGGTTATGATCTGAGAATCCCTTTACCCTTGTCGTCTCCGGTCTCAGATTGTTGCTCATCGATCCATCTCTATTTCTGGTTCGTTCACTCAAGCAAATCTCCATTTTATGTACAGGTTCAATCAAGCTCATGCGCATCTCCATATTTCTATGTTTTTTTGTTCCTTTGTCTCCATCCCTAACTCGTGATTTTCTATGATCGATCACAGTTGCTCTCTCAAGACGCGATTTTCTCACATTGATTAAAAGGTATTTTGTTTTCAGCATTGATAATCTGCTATCCTTGCTCATACTATACTTCACTTGTTGAAATCTTTTGTTTTTCTTAAATCTAGTTGAGAATTTCATATGTTTGCTTAAGAAAATCCATGGTTTTCATCCAATTTTGGGGTTTTATGTTGCCTTATTACAATTTTGGGTTCATTATAATTAGGAGAAGAAGGAACAACTCAATTGGCAATGTTAATTATGCCTTCTATTGAAACTCCTCAGGTAACTTCAAAAATGTTGACTCTACAATAGCCATCAATTAAAGTAGTGTAGGTCACATGATTTGGATTTGTGGCTTTCATTTCTTTGAACATTCTTAATGCTTCCCTCATCTGACCTTGTTTACAGTTCCATAGATCAACGAATTATAGGTTATAATGTCGGGATGAATATTTGA